TAAACAGAAATAACAGTAATCCCTGTGTGTTCAGTGTCCAGTTTAAGGTCAGCCTGATACAGATGGACGAATGGAAAGGCATCACTTCTTTTTCTTAAAATGGGCTCAAATCAATGCTGGACTGTCAGAAAAATGTCAAAACTTTACATTTAGAAACTTCTTTCTGGAATTTTTGACCACTACTCCAGACGTGCGTTTGTGAAGTCAGCCATGGATGTTGGATGAGAGGTCTCTGTTGTAATTCAGCCCAAAGGTGTTCCATCGGGTTAAGGTCAGGGCTCTGTGGGGTCAAGGTCACATTCTTCCACACTAAAATCGCTCATCCATGTCTTTAGGGACCGCACTTTGTTCACTGATGTGAAGTCATGTTGGAAGCGGAAGGGCCATCTACATTAAGCTGGGAGCGTTAATTTTTCAGCATGCCTAGACACTGTGGAGTCAATTTAAGAGTTCCTTTCAAATGAACTAAGGGGGCCAACTCCTGCAAAACAAGCCCACATCATAATCCCCCATCAGCAAACTTTACTTGGCACAATGCAGTAAGACAAGTACCATTCTCCTGGCAACTGCCAAACCAAGGCTCATCCGAGCAACACGTATCCACTGCTCCAGAGTCCAGTGGCAGCATCTCCAGCTGCTCCGTCATTATGACCCACTCCATGAAGCTCTCTATGCACTGTTCTCGAGCTGATGTGAAGCTACTGTGCACCCGATGCGACTCTGATCCGCTGACCTCGCTCTGTGATTTTACGTGGCCTACCACTTTGGGGCTGAGTTGCTGATGTTTCCAATCGGTTCCACGTTTGTTATGATGCCATCAACGGCGGACTGGAATATTTAGCAGCCAGGAAGTTTCATGCCTGGACTTGTTGCACATCCTGGAAGTCTCTGAGCTCCTCACAGCAGCCCAGTCTTTCACAATATTTGTTATGCAATCTGCATAACCTAGGTGCTTGGTCTTACCTGTGGCCATGGTGGCAATGATTTGGATGGGTGAGTGAATACTTTTTATAGATATTTTGAAGCTACCAATAGAAAAGTAAAATTTAACAACAAAGTTTTTACAAAATTGCTTTTGGTATGGCGCCATCTGTAAAGCTACCTGGACCTGCCACTAATTAGTCTTTTATTTATCAAGATAAAAATGTCATTGAGATTAAAAATCTCATCTCTCTGTGTTCTGTCTCTCTGTCTGCTTTCCCTGTCTTGTTTTTAATGAATACATTTGTCGTCCCGTCAATGTTTTTTGCCCTCTTCATGTTCTCATGTTGCTCTCTCTGTGTTTTGTCCCTTTGTCTCCCCAGTCCGTCTGCTTATCCTCAGTCCCAGTGTTGAGCTCAGTCTAAAGTCTGATTCTGAGCTCCAGTGTATATTACTTCCTGTTTTATTTTGATAATCTTGTGTGTATTATGTTCAGTGTTGCTTCCCGGTGTCTCGTCAGTCAGCTTCTGTGTAGCTGTGTCCACACTGCTCTAGTCTCCCTCTGTGTAAATAATCTGTGTCTTCCTGTCTTCTCTGTTGCGTTGTCCCCTCTTGCTTTGCTTCCAGAGTCTTCTGTGAGTTTCATGGGCACCCTGTAGTTTTCCAGTTGTTTGCTCCTAGTTTTCTTCTTTTCTTGATTTTTTTTAATTATTTAGTTTCAGTACAGCAATAAAGCTGCCTCTTTTAATCTATTCTTTTCTCTGAATGCTGCAGTTGGGTCCCACACTGCCTGCCTCAGAGTGCTACATGATAATTAGGGCCGAGAAGCACAAAGGAGCTGAATAGCTCTGACTTTTCAGTGTCTATATTTGTTTAATCCAACCTCATGCTAATTGTTAAGCGTTAGCATAAACAGTTATATAATTTGATTAACTGACTCTTAAATTCACATTTAAAAAAGAAATTTCAAGAGGATTCACGACTAAAAAGACACAATAAAGAGAACCAACTGCTCTAAAAATGTGAACTGAGCATGCTAAAGGTCATTGCTTCCCACAAGCGTCTGTTTAGCAATATTATCTGAAATCTGAGTGGCTGGTGGATACAGTACCTAATACCAAAACAAATACCCTGAGCAGTTGGAGTGAGGGATGGGAGGTAGCTTGAAGGTGTAGTGTAGGCAGGGAGAGAGGGAAGGTCAGTGTTAACAAAGACTCCATTGTTTCCAAATTCCTTCACTCCTTCATTCCCTTCGTGCAGCCGCCAACTTCCACATTTCCTTTCCTGCTATTTTCCCATCCTCGTGTGTTTATCACTGTCTCGTCCCTCTAGCTCTCAGCTAGCCACAGCTCGAAGGGTCGGCTGTCCTGCGCCGTGGAAATGTTTGCTTTCCTGAATGAATTTATAACATGTATGTGTCGGGGTGGCTCTGCTGAACATGAAAAGACTGTAGTTGAGGAACGATGAAACAGCCTGTCAAGTTTAACGGACAAAAACATTTCCTGACCAAACTTAGTCAAAAGCTGCTGAAAACAACATACATTTAGACTGTATTGTATACTATTAGATTTAACATCACTGGAATAAGCACCAGGTTCATAGAGCTCATTATAGAGAAACAGAGACAGACATGACAACATCATTTGGTGAAAGAGCGCAGAACAAATGGGCTAAAACTACAGAATTAGGTTCATCACAGAGAAGGAGAAGACATAAACAAGGAGGACAGACAAAGTCACCGGGGTGTAGTTGGAGTCCAAGAGCTGGTGAAGGTGAAAGAAATAATATTTTAAAAATTAATTAATTGACTACTACTACTAATAATAACTAAATAAACAATCTGTATATAAGTCACAGTGAATTTCTTATTTGGTAACATTGTTAATATGCATAGAAACCTAAACATGACAAATATATTTCTATATATATACACAAATACACACTACAGATGAAAAGGTTGGCTTTATTGTCTTGTCCCTGTGTGTCATCGCAGTGATGCTGCCGTGACGTAAATGTTAGCTTGTCAGTCCACATGTCAGTAGGGTTTTCTCATTCGTTTTGTCCCAGTGAGGACTGTTATTTCACCTCTGAGCCCTCAGCCTTCACTCTGAACCACAGGACTCCCACGCAGGGACTTCAGTACTCTTTAAGTGACACAATACAATGTCTTTCATAGTACCTTTATTTATAAAAGCTAAGGAAAAAGAACACAGAGCTAGTTACATAAACACAAAGTGAGATAATTCATGGGTGTCATATACATAAATATTCACAACTGAACCAGTTTGCTACATGACACATACTTGGTATAGTTTCCTGTTTACATAATAAACGTGTAGACCAGTATGAAGGTGCTGGGGAAGGCTCTAATTTTGTGTCATTAAAAGTGTAATATACTGATGTCATTAAATGACAGTTCTGTGGCGAAGAAGTGCCCTTTTACTGACAACACTGGGACAAACAGAGAGGAGACGTGCACTTGATGTCTGACAGTAATCAGACCTAACACTGATGTCACAGCAGCACCGATCACTGTATTTATGCTGCTGTATTTGTCAGCTAGTGTTCTGTATTTTCTGTTACTGTAACAGTGCTAAGGGCTAAGTCTGCAAACATGCATGTTAAAAAAATCGAATTAGGGCATACTGCAAACACAAATACTACTAGCCACATTAACTAGTTAATGATGCTAGTTAGCTAGTTAGCTAAAACCATTACACTCCTGTTTTTGCTGCTCAGCCTAAAGAAGAACGAGAGATTTCTAGTGTCTGTTTATTTCCTCAATATGACAGTGCTAACGTACAAAAATAAAGCTATGAAGGACCTTACTGTGGCTCCATTTGTGGCTGTGAATCCAGCATGGTGGACAGAGGACAGTGGGGACTCGTTAGCTTTAGCATGGGAATCTAGAACTGGTTTATGTAGTAAAAGTAAAAGTCGCATTTTTTGGAACTGTTAGTCTGCTTGCCGATCCTGCTTATCGGTTCCACTTGCAGTTACCCTACAATGAGCTGATTGTGGCATGCGGAGGTGGAGAATAATGGCGCAGCCTTCAGCTTGGATATAAACGCTAAGCTAGCAAAGAACCCAGAGCGATATTAAAACTGAGTGAATGCTGCTTTGTGTGCAGGTCAAATGATTGGAATCCAGTGTTGCTGTTTCCGATCCCACATTTGCCATGTAAGAGGAAGACAGCTAAACCCTCAATCTAACCCCTTCCTTTTCCCCATAACTAACTCACTCACACACTCCCTCAGTCTAAAGCACCTTGAGCCTGGGTGTGCAGTGACATACAGAAAGGAGAGGCAGAGACACCCACACTCAGACAGAGACTGCTGTCCTTCAGCGGAAACAGCTTTTCCTCAAGAGCTGCCTTCAAAAAACACTTGACGAGAACAGAAATTGGCAATTCATTTATTTACTTGTTCATTTATTTTCACCCTTGTTCTCTCCCTGCTCATTTTTTTATTGATCGCAATCACTTGTTCCTTGCACGTGTTCAAATTGCAGAGTGGCTTTTTGTCTTTCTTCCCGCCTCAACTGCAGGAAGAATGGCCTAATCAAGGCAAATTGGTGATAATCTACTTGTGAGATTAAGCAGGAAACAGAAAGAACGACTTCAGCAAAAAATTAACACAAAAACAGAAAGCAACGAAACTTAAGCAGGAAAAAACGCAACACAAACAGACAACGCAAAACAGTTAGAAATGCATGAGACACAGGTGGAGAGGCAGATAAAGGATATGAATGGAACCTACCGACTTGTTGTGTGGTCTAGTGGTTGGTTGGTACCGGTCTGTTGGAGTCCTGTTGTACCGTCTGTGGTTCCAAGACTAAGGGCAGAAAGACACACATGCATTACATGCTAAACGTTCCTGTTGTCTGTAATTCGTGGATGGCAGACGAAGTGCCAACAGACACATCAGCCAATCAAAAGCACCAACTGTGACTGCGCCAACACTGCCTCTAACTAATCACATCGTGTGTTACTTGTGAAGCACACACAATATATTTAGTTTGATGAGTAATCACAATCAGATAGTTGTGTTTTTACTTTACTGAACTTTGGCATTACTGTTATTGTGAAGATTGTTGTTGTAAAGTCAAACTATATGAAAAGTGTTGAAATGATTTTAAATGAACCTGCAGAACAAAATTCTTCACATGTTTTTGTTTCACCCAAACAACAACATTTCTCTCTTTTGGTTCTACCTGTGCACCACCACCTAACTTTGAAATAAAACATTCAATATATAATTCAATACAGACTTTGAACTGTAAACACAAGGCCAGATGTTTACTCTGATTTGATTTGAGTGGTTCATGGAATAACACAACTTGTAAATTGCTGATATGAATAACTTGGGCTTTTTACATGTACAATATTTGACTACAGTGTATTTTTAGCTACCTAGGTGGCTCATTTGCTTTCTCTTGACATCGCTTTCTGTAGAGACGTTACACATTTTGAAGTCAAAGGCAGAAGTGAAATAAACGTGAGAGCAGAGGTCAAATGTGACAGGATATTTGGAAGGTGGAGGTAATGCTAATCTGAACGGTCTGTCAAAACAGACTGTTAACATCACCCCACCCGCACAAAGTCTCCACTATGACAATGTTACTTGAGCTCTTCTATTGAACTTCTTGTTTCTATGTTTTGTGTTTGCCAGGACTCCTGAACCTGTTGTTTCTTTTTCAGCCAGCTTCTGTTAAACCAGTGCATTTTTACAAACATTTATTTTTGTTTATTCACCGAGCTGTGTGTCTGCTGTGCTGCATCAAGATCCTCTTTCTTGACCTATTATGATATAATATAAAGCACCTTGAGGCGACTGGTGTTGTCATTTGGGGCTGTATAAATAAAATTGAACTCCCCATAACAGTACGGAGCAACCAACCCCCGAAGAAAGCAAGGCTCTTTATGAGCTATGTCATCCTCAGCCTAATTTACAGTCAGCGCCTCAGTGGACCTCACTCTGTTCACTTGGCCAGTCTATCTCTATCTAACATAGTCTGTCTCATAATGTTTCCAGAGCAGGTCATTCTGTTCTCGAGTCAGTTTCAGGGTCTCAGTCATGAATTCATGTTTAGAATATGAATTAAGAGATAAAACAATGCCATATATAAACAATGCTACTTCTGCAATCAGATGTTT